GCAGGGGGAGTCTGGAGGCACAGTAGGATGGAATAGGGTTATCTTGGATTGGTATGTAAAATGAATAAAAAATTTCCTTACTAAAAAAAAATAAGTGGGTATACTCTAAAAAAGGAATATTTGTTTATTTCTGTAAATAGTATCAATAACTATTACTCCAGTGGGTCCATTCTTGCCTGGAGATCTATTATTTTACTTTGCAGGGTCTTACACTGGATAAGATCCCCTTACTAGCCTGTATAGCCATGGCATGCACTATAAAAGTGATCTAGCAGGGGGAAGATTCCTGGTCAGTCAAGGAGGATTTTTTAATATTCTGTTTCCAAAATGAGTGATGTCTTAAGAAATAGGCTCTTACCATCTAGAGATGGTAGAAAACCAAGAGTGCTAGCAATAGCATATATATATATTTGAGTTTCTTTGGGGCCTTCCTGATCAATAACCCACAGTGGGGTAACTTGTGCTTGACATTGAGATTTTCCTTGTGTCCTTTGGGAGCAGCATGATTAAACAGTATGGAGTAACTCTGTTCACACTCCTCTTTATGTCATATTGCAATTAGCTTACAAACTAATGGGGTTTAATAAAAGTTCTCATACATCCCTGGTTTGGGTTGGTCTACCTCTTATTCCTTTTCTTCACTTACATGCTTCTTTCCCTGCTTAAACTGTTAGCCCCCATTTTTCCTTCTCATTTTTTCCTTCTTTTCATTCTTTCATATCACATGAATTCACTTGAACCACTTTCATTTTTTATGTGTGTTGCAGTAGGTTTCCACATAGTTTCTTCGTGTGTCCTTCATTTGGGTGGATCATTTCCCCCACTTCCTCCTTCCCAGTCTCCATGACTCCACTGCCTGCTCCTACCTTCTGCTGTCAGGGTTTACCATTTCTGTTTCACTGATCTCCCTCATTATACACTCCCCTCCTAGGTTTGTTTCTGGTTTCCTGGCATCCACGTGTACTTCAAGTTAAACACGGAAATTGAAAGAAGTTAGGAGCTACACGTAAGAGTGAATATCCAGTATTTGCATTTCTGGGCCTGAGCTTCCTCATTCAGTAATTTTTTTCCAGTTCCATTCATCATGTAAATAGATGGGTGTTCCATGATTTCCCTTTTCTAAGTAGTTGAGAGATATCTCATTGTAGTTACATCCATCATGTTTTTAATCTACTCCTTTGTTGATGAACATTAACTTGATTCCATTTTTCAGCTATTGTGAATAGAATAGCAATGACCTTGAATACATAGGTGCCTTTGTAGCAGGATGTATTCCATTGTGTACATGCCCGGGAGTGTTATATAACTTTGTCATTTGGTAAGTCCATTTATATTTTTCTGAAAATAAAATCAGGGAGCTTGCCATCTTTATTACCTGTTTGTAGCCTCTTTCCCTTCCTGTCTTTCTGTCAAGGATCTTTCCAGTTCTTACTATCTCATAACTATTATCTATTAATTGACATATACATTTCTGTAAAGCCTGTTGAATATTCAATAGCTCCAGACAACGGAACCTGAATAATATTTTTGAGATGGTAGGATATTACCCACAGGCCAAACAGATATTTCTGGCCTAAAAGCTATCCCTTCTGTTCCTCTTCATTGATTAAAATTATACAAGGGGTTACTGGCATTACTTCTTGATATTTGTTACCTAACAACCCATACCCTCAACAAAGGATTAAACCAGAGCAATTGTCACAGATCTGGCCCTGCTTATGAGAGACCAATGAGGAAAAAGAAGGTGTTTACTGAAATGTTTTCAGAGAATATTAAACAGTCACAAGGGAGTAGTTGTCAGAACTGAAATAAAGTCACACAATGTACTTGCCTGTAATCCCAGAATTGAGGAAATGAAGCATTGGGATCATAAATTTGAGGCAACCTAGACTTCAGAGTCAGATCTTGTCCCACCAAGAGGACAGAGTTGTTTGTCACAGACTTTCTAAAGGTAACTAAAGCCGAGAGATTATGTAGAAATGGTTCTTCGTGCTAAACTGACAGTATTGTAATATATGTTAGACATGGCTCTTGCATTTTGTTTATGGTATTTGTTATAGGCAAAGGCATATTTTACCTCAAGGTTGAGATACTAAAACGATGAGGATGAAAATATAGAGGCATTTGTGCTTACCTCCTTGGCTGTCACACTCTTGGTTCTCAAGAAATGAGACTTTGCTCAGGAATCTCCTATTGAGAGAAAAATAACTTAAGCCACAGGGACATCCTGAGGAAGAATTTGTCTTCTGGAGAAAGTTATACAACTTGTCAGGTGACCCTGCAGTTGAGCCTTACCTTTCAAGAGAGACTTGGTGCTGAGACAATGGTGGGCAGAAGACCGCCACACTCTTCTGAACTGGTTAGACGTGCATGTCTCTTTTTTCCATTTAAGCCCTACTTTGATGATGGGGCCCTGAAGAAAAAATAGGGTATCTACTGGATTTCTTTGTCCCTTATTTTATTGTAGCCACATTTAGTAAATTCTCTCTCTCTCTCTCTCTCTCTATATATATATATATATATATATATATATATATATATATATGTGTGTGTGTGTGTGTGTGTGTGTGTGTATACATATATACCTATATATATGTATATATATGTATATATAGAGATAGATAGATACATAGATAGATAGATGATAAATAGATATAGATATAGATAGATGATAGATAGATAGATGATAGATGATGATGATAGATAGATAGATAGATAGATGCATAGATACATAGACAGATATCTCATTTTAACAGATTTTGACCCATTTCTGATTTCTTAGCCTCCAAATTTTACTTGGTTAATTTCCTTCCTGAAAAAAAATATATTGGTGTCACTATTTCTTAACAAATTGTCTATGGAAGGGAAAATACCATAATGACTACATCCCTCAGATGGCACCAAGATAATGAAATAAAGCACTTCCAAATGGGTCTATGGTTTGCATAATATATGAAAAGTTATTTAATTCTTAACTCAGAACACTGTTATAGGAAACTGGGAGCCTAAAGGCCACTCCAGAGAACCTGGCTGGGCCCAATTGTAAGAGATTAGTTGTAAATGAAATATTGAAGGTCTACAATCAAATATTGTTATTTGAAAATATTTTACTAACCTTTCCAAACAGAACAATAACAACAAGGACAACAAAAACCTTTTGCTTTATAATCTCTTGCTCTTCATTTTCTAGATACTCTAGATAAGAAAATGTTCCCACTGCTTTTCCCAGAAAAGAAATGAAAGAAGATAAAAATTGGTCAAAGCTCTGAAAACAAAATATGTCATATTAAACTGCTTGCTTTCTTATCTAACTTTTATTGTAGTATGATAGACAAACTATAAGTCAGTAAACTGCTCTTCATGATCTCAATCTTGTAAAAAATAATTCCAGTTAAGATAGATGAGAAAAAATTGCTTTCTCACATTTTCTTTCTTGTGGCTAAAGTACCTTTTGAACGTTCTGTAGTTCTGTGTTGACAAAACTGCAATAGTAATGATCCACAAGTCAGGACGTGACACAGAGTGTGCTGTGCACGCAGCATTATTCTATGATAGTGAAAAAGGCTAATACTGGCAGTTTCTAAATTGAGCAAATTGTCAGAGCATCAACTTATTGTGACTCTACATACAGTAAAAATTATGAAACAACATCCTATCCAGTGATGCTTACTTGCAAGTGCAGATGAACTAGTTTGTTTATTAAAAAATTAATATATTTTAGTAGGAAGTCTGAAATCAAAATTTGTGTTTTACTATCCCATAGATCCAGCCCTGTATTCTGAAAATTGTAAAAATTCTGAAATCATGAAACTCAGAAGCACAGTATAAGTTATATACGTTCTTTGCCATGTTTCTTGTTTCATAATCACTCTAATCTCAAGTTGTTAGCAAAACCATGAAGAAAATTAGCCCGCTTATGTCTTTGCCATTAGTGATATTTTTTTACTGAATGAATGTGATATAAATTCTCAACATATAATTTTCCAATTGTATATAAAGACCACCTAAAAAACATTGACTCCAAATGAGAAGAACAAACAAAATGAAGAAACCCCTTACTGCCTCAGACTAATGTGCTCATTACCTAGACTCAAACAAACAACAGATTTTAATAGATCAAATACAATTTTTTCATTGTGTGCTTTGGGCCGCATCACAGAGGTCATAATGACCAAACATCAGTGATGTCACTAACATGTGGCTTATTTGGTTTACTATCTGAACTCCCTCAGTTAAATAACCCAAGTCAGAGAAGTCATAGGACCAAATGTAAGTGGCTTAACTCCCACAGGTAAATCATGTTAGAATATCATCTAACATTTGTTACATTGGTAACATTTAATGGCATTACTAGGAGTATTTAACCACTAAGAGAATTTTTAATTAAATTTTCAAATGGCTTCAGTGAGGAAAATTTTAAGCAAAGATCTATTAAGTAATCTAAGCACTGTCTTGCACATATAACTCAATTACCTATGTTCATTTGTAAACGTGAATAAGAACTTGCTGCTCTGGAATAATATTTCTGTATACTATGAATATGTATTACTCTCATTGATTAATGAAGAAGCTGATTGGCATATAGCAAGGCAGTACAAAGTTAGGCAGGACAATCAAATTGAGGATGCTGGGATGAAGAGGAGCAGAGTCAGAGAGAGGCCAGATAGCTGCTGAGGAAGCATGATATATAGCAAATGAGGTAACAAGCCATTAGCCACATGGAGAAGCACAGATAGAAATAGGGGTTAATTTACATGCAAGAGTTAGCTAGTAACAAGCCTGAGCTATCAGCCAAGAATTTATAAGTAATATTAAGCCTCTGTGTCATTTATTTGGGAGCAGATGCTCAGGACAGGAAAACTCCATCTACAACCTGCTTAGAATTACTAACAACAAACAAAGAACTAGACTCAAATCCATTATGTAAACAGTGACATCTGTCTTTAAACATGGAACTCCTTTAGGAATTCATATGTTTGGTCTCTTCCCCTTTAGCCCATCTTTATTCCATTGTATCAGCTGCCAAACCACAGAAACACTTTCTACCAAAGACTCCTAGGGTCTACACTGGGCTGGGACTCAGGTAGGAAATTTCACTTTTTTTTTTTTTTGTCCTCCTTGAGATCTCTCCAGTCTCATTCCCAATCCTGTGGAATTTGGCTTGCAGAAGTCCCCATCTTAGTGCCTATTTAGCTTAATTCTTTCTTGACAACCCTCTCTGCCTTCCCATCGAGCCCATCTCGATTCTTTTGTGTCAATAATGATCCCTAGAAATATGCTCTACCAGGCACACAGAGTAGCCACTCTGGGACAGGACTTACAAACAAGTTTCTCACTGTCTCTTCTGTCTTCCATTATACTCTGTCCAGACTTATTCCTAGTCCTGCAGCAGCCTGTAGCCCCTCCCACGTAATTTCATTCACTGGGGATACTACCTCTTGGTAGTATCCCACTGGCCCTTTTATAGTATCTCTCCAGACTTAGTCTTTGTCCTGAAGCAGGCTGTGTCCAGGAGCCCCTGCTTGTTCCACATCTCTACTACAAGAGAACTCTGCCTATAGGTGCCAACAGGATCCTTCTTTCTCCTTTCCACAACCATCCTCAGCCTTTACTCCTTGCCAATCTTCATTTCTTTCTACCACCAACCCACATGCACAGCATTCTCTACCCAGGACCCCATAGCTACCACACTTGCCTAGAATCCATAGTGAGTAAAAGAATGGATCACCCACCCAACAAAGACCAGACCAGGTATTAATGCCAAGAAACACCTCAAATATAAGAGTAAGAACCATTCCCTAAGATAGATTTCACATGTAACATAGCTTGGGTGACTAAGTACCTGAGACTAGATAGGCCAGGGCCATGGAGAAAACCAAATACTACTATTTTAAGAAATAGCAATAACACTCTGATATACTCATAGATTAGTGCCTTACTCAGCCATCATTACACAAGTTCCCTTCTGCAACACATGGGAACAAATGCAGAGGACCACAACCAGACAATAGGCAGAGGGAGATCTTAGAACATTCAGCCTTATAAGGATGTCTCCACCAAATTCCTTTGCCCGGGTATGAGAGAACCGTGCAGAAAAGAAAAAGGAAAGAATGTAATAACCAAAGGTGGTGGAGGATATCAAGGAAACAAGGCCTTCTAAACACAACAGGACTAAAGCACATATGAACTCACAGAGACTGAGGTAAGCTGCATGGTCTATACCAGATAGATGCCTAGAGTTGAAAGAAGTGCACACATTCCCCCTCATACTTTCAAAATAGCCTCAAATAATAAAAGTGTCTACTGTTAATAAAAGAAAAAGACAAAAAAAAACCTGACATTAAAAAAATCAGTACTATACCTAAGTAAAATGACAAATGGAGAGAGAAAATTAATGGAAACATTTCTTTTCACAATTTGTGTGTATCCATGGGAGGAGTGGGAATCTTGGAATAACTAACAGAGCAAGTGAAAAGATTTGTATGATAAAATCTTTAAGACATTGAGGGAAGAAATTGAAGAACACATCAGAAGATGGAAAGGTCTCCAATGCTCATGTATTGGTAGGAATAATACAGTGAAAATGGCCGTCTTAACAAAAGCAATCTACAGATTCAATACGATGCCCATCAAAATTCCAGTACAATTCTCCACAGAAATAAAAAAAAATATCAATTTTCAACTTCATATTGTAGCACAAAAATCCCAGAGTAGCTAAAACAGTCCTGAATAATAAAAGACTTGATGTAGTTATCACTATTCCTGCATTCATGTTGTACTACAGTTATAGTATTAAAAAGGATGGTATTGGCATAAAAACAGACATGATGATCAGTGGAATCAAATATCCTGAACGTGATGGAAGAGATAGTGGGGGAATAGTCTTAAAATTAATGGCATAGGAAAAGACATTTTGAATAGGATATCAATGACAGAGGCACTAAGAACAATAATACATGGGACCTCTTGAAACTAAAAAGCCTCTTTACAACAAAGGACACTATAACTCTGGGAAAGTAGCAGGCTACAAGATGAGGAAAACCTCTTTCCAATTACACATCTGATATAGAGCTAATATCTAAATATATACACAAAAAAAGAGGGAATTAAGAAATCAAATGAACCAAGTAAAAATGAGACCTAGAATTAAGTAGAATTCTCAAAAGAGGAAACAAATGAACTTAACGAAATGTTAAATAGTCTTAGTCATCAAGGAAATGCAAATCAAAACTACTTTGAGATTTCATCTTATACCAGTCACAACTGACAAGATCAATGAAACAAAAGACCTCTCATGCTCTTAAGGATGTAGAGAAATGGGAAGACTTACTCACTGCTGGTGGGAGTGCCAACTTGTACTATCACCATGGAAATCAATGAGGCAGTTCTTCATGAAGACAGAAATCAATCTAGCTCAAGATCCAGCTATACCATTCTTGAGCTCATATCCAAAGAACTCAAGCCTACTATGGAGAAATTGGCTCATCCACATTAACTGCTACATATTCATAAGAGCTAGAAGTTGAAAAGCATCTAAATGTCCATTGACTGATAAATGGATAATGAAAATGTGGTATATTTATACAAGATAATACTATTCACCTTTTTAAAAAATATGAAACTTACAAGTAAATAACTGAAGCTAGAAAAAAATCATCCTGAGTTAAGTAATCCAGACCAAGCTTTTAAGCATTCAATAGGCCTGCTACAATCTGAAACACCACAAATATTAGGGATCTAGTAAGAGACTATTGAGGAGAGGATTTCCCAAGGAAGAGGAAAGTGAATGCATTGTTATAAAGAGATAGAAGGGAAACTAGAATGGAGGTGGGGAGGGGATAGAAGTGACTGATGAGTGAGGGAATACAGGGAGTCACAGCTAACACTAGGGGCAATTTGAGGGTCCCTATGGAAACTCTTTACTATAGCAGCTTTCTAAAATATATATAGATATGAAAGAAAGCTCCATGGAATCATGAAATAATGGGAGAGACCATGACCCAAATACATTTTTGCCACCAGGTAAAACCTCTCATGCCAGGAATGAGTTGCATCTAGTTGATTCACTGATCAAAGGGACCCCATGAAAAGCACTATTAACTCAGACTACTGCCAAGGCTAGAGTTTGCTCTACACAAACTGATAAGGAACTGTGGAAGAAAACAAAACTTACATATCTTATGGAACATAGAGAAACCGAGTTAGTACCTAAGTAGAGGCTTCACCCTTCCTGAGTAGCATTCATAGTAATTAAAGTTACTCTGCATGCTAACAGATGAGAAGGTAATCATCAACTCAACTACAATTCCTGTTATCTACAATGGTGAGCTGCCTGCACAATATATTAATGCAAGAGTGGCACAAATGTTTTTGGAGTAACTATCTATTTTCTGATTAGATTTATTTCCACTCCATGAGGTGTAACCATGTCTGACAGTGCTAGGATGGCCAAGAGCCAGAGACTGTGTTGGCCATGGACCTAGAGGAAAATAAAATGTTATTGTTCTGCTAAAAGAACATAAAAATCCTCCTCATGATATTCCTCTATACCAATAGATCAGTGCTTCCCTCAGCCATCACCAAGGAACCTTCTTCTTACAGTAGATGGGAACTAACACAGAGATCCACAACCGGACAATGCACAAAGAATGAGAGATTTTGAAACACTCAGTAGTAAATGGGATGTCTCTATCAAACCCCTCCTTTTAGCACTCAGGGATTAATGTGAAAGAGAAGGGGAAGGAGGATAAGAGCCAGAACTGAAAGATGACTGTAAGGAAACAACATCTTCTAAACACAACAGAACTGAGTCACACAGGAACACAGACACTCTGGAAGTTTGTACAAAGCAAGGACAATTTTGAATCAGATGGGATTTACTGGATGTTGAGTTGGGGAAGTGGACATTTGCTCCCACTCCTAACCAAGAAGCT